AACCATTCAGAGGCGGGAAAACGCCCGAGGTCCATGTGGGGGGGGGCCTGGTGGCACCGTCTTATGGCGAGGGTCGACCACGGCTCCAGCCCTGGCCCCAGTTCCGGCCTCGACCCCGGCCCAAGCCCAGGCCCAGGCCCAGGCCCACGCCCCGGCCCCGGCCCCAGCCCCGACAGCCCAAGAGGCCCCCAAGAGAGCCCCGAGAAGAGCTCCGGGGCGGCAGCGACGGCGACGTCGCCGCCGCCGCCGCCGCCGTCGTCCTCCTCCCCCCTTCGGGATCGGCGGCAGCGGCCGCAAGGCCTTCCCAAGACACGAACAGAGGAGTGGGGCCGCACGCGGCCTGGCGATTGCCACCATGCATGTGTTGAGCTGTCTGCTGTCGGGGGTGGCAGGGGTGGGGGGCGGCATGGCTCCTGGCCGGCGGCCCCTCCAGCGGGGGGACGGGGGGCGCAGTGGTCAAGACTTTTTGGAGGACTGCCCGCCGCCGAGGGGAAGCGAAGCGAGAGAGCCGCCCAAAGACCTAGGGGGGTCCGTCTGTGAGGACCTTCGCGTCGCCGCGGGCAGCCAGGACTGGCCACCCGCGGGGCCAGCGACGGGCCTCTCCCTTTCTGGGAAAAGGGGTCGTGCTCCTCCGCAGCAGGACCGATCTTCCAAAGAGCAGCTGCTCCAGGCTCACGGGCTCCATCTCGGCCTGCTCAGCGGCCCAGGAGAAGAGACGGGGGGATAGCGTTAGGTCGGGCCTGTCCCCCTACAGGGGGACGTTGGGCGAAAAAGTAAAGATACACCAGCAAATATCACCATCCCTTTTGGGCGTAGGTGGTCTAGAGCGTTTCCTGTGTTACCCCTCCTACTTCCCCTTCGGGGAAGGGTTTATCACTGTTCCCTATTAGTATACACCCCCTCCCCCAGGCGACTAGAAGCCAACCCAGGTCCACGCGGGCACTCCCCCACACCATCCCTTTAAAAAACAATACGAACACACATTCTGCCCCCACCATATTTTGTTTAAAAAATACAAAACACCTTCTGTCTCCAAATTCTGAGCATGCGCAGCGAACCCGATGCGGCTTCCCCCCACCATCCCTGTCAAAAAAACAATACAGAGTACACTTCACGGCGGCGGCGGCTGCGGCAGCTGTGGCGGTTGCGGCGGGGGCAGCGGCTGCGCCGGCTGCGGCGGTGGCGGGCGGCGGGGGCGGCGGCGGCGGCGGGGGCGGCGGCGGCGGCGGAGGCGTCGGTGGCGGCGGCGGGGGCGGCGGCGGCGGCGCGTGGCGGCGGTGGCGGTGTCGGCGGCGCAGCGGTGTGACAGCAGCGACGCGGCCCCCGGCAGCGGCTGCGGCGGCGGCGATTTCGCAGCGGGGGCGGCGGCGGGCGACGCGGTGGCGGCGGCGGGCAACGGCGGCGCTGGCGGCGGCGGCGCGGCAGCGGCGGCGGCGGCTGCGGCGGCGGCGGCGGAGGTGGATTCGCCCCCAGTAGCTGGCCATCCAAAGACGACTGTTGCATACGCTGCGGTTCGGGTCAGGCTCGGGTGCTACGTATGTGTTGGGAGGGCGGGTGGGAGTGAGCGAGACGGCTTGCGGGCGGGGAGGGCGTTTTGATCACTGTTCCCTATTAGTAAACACCCCCTCCCCCAGGCGACCGGGGGCCAACCAGGGTCCATGCCGACCCCCCCCCCCCCAACACCATCCCTTGCAAAAAAATATCCCGGCAAAGCAACCTAACAGCGATGTGTAGGAGCATATCTGGAAGCATTCTCCTTAAGGTTCAGATGAGAATCCAGTTGTAGAATTCTGCTGTTCTCGCAATCGTAGTCGCATTCGCGATGACAGTCGCAACGGCAACGGCAGTCGCAGTCGCAGCCTCAGCCTGCCTCAGCCTCAGCCTCAGCCTGCCTCAGCCTCAGCATGCCTCAGCCTCAGCCTCAGCCTGCTTCAGCCTCAGCCTCAATATGCCTTCAGCCTCGGCCTCGGCCTCAGCCTGCTTCAGCTTCACCCTGCATCAGTTTCAGTCTCAGCCTCAGCCTGCCTCAGCATCAGCCTGCCTCAGCCTCAGCCTCAGCCTGCCTCAGCCTCAGCCTTAGCCTGCTTCAGCCTCAGCCTCAGTCTGCCGTCGGCCTCGGCCTCAGCCTGCCTCAGCCTCAGCCTGCATCAGCCTCAGCCTCAGCCTCAGCCTGCCTCAGCCTCAGCCTCAGGCTCAGCCTCAGCCTCAGCCTGCCTCAGCCTCAGCCTCAGAATGCAGACGCGTGTCGGTCTTCCCTCGCTGGCTGAGAAGCACCGCGAAAAGCCGAGGCTGCGGACGAACCTCGGTCTTCCCTCGCAGACTGAGAAGCACCGCGAGAAGCCCAGGCTGCGGACGTGTGTCGCGGCGAGCCGAGGGCCATTGCAATGCGGCCGGCGAAGGCCACCAGGGAGGCACGTTTTGAACCAAACGCGGCTATCAGAGGCAAAGGACAAGTAGGTCGCCAGTAAAGGGCCCGGGAGCTTCCAACGACTCTCTGCTATCAGTGGATGAACCTCCGAACGAGACACTGCTGTGAGACCACAGGCGCCGGATGATGACGATCTTGAGAGTGCTGCTTCGAGGAGGGAAAGAAAGAAGGAGTGAGAGAGATGGGATCGAGAGCTCCCGGAGGGGGGGATGTGCCCATCCGAGGGAACGGTGCACCCCCCCCCTCCTCAGCACTGGCGACGAGGATCAAGCTGTTTAGGGAAAGAAGAAGACCCCCCCGCCCCCTATCCTCCCCCGCGGCCTGAGTGGACCACCCAGGCCTGCGGAGGACGTCATAAAGGGTCGGGTACCCCGTACAGAAATGAAGGGAGAAAGGGGAGGGAGGAAAGAGTAAGGAACCTCCCTCGTCCTGCTCCTCCTGCTCCTCCTGCTCCTCCTACTACTGCTACTACAAGAATTAGATTCTGGCGGAAACGTTCAGTGCACGATGACGCCTGGGTCCGCCGTCTTGCCCTGCACGATGACGACACAGAACAAACCGGGAATCGGGTGGCGAGAGATCTGACGGAGACATCCAGTAAGCAAAATGTAGCCTGGGAGCGGAGTTCTGGGAGCTCGAAGAAAACGAAGTGGCCTACAGTTGGCTCTGGACATCTAAAATGTTGCCCGGGAGTGGAGTTTTGGGAACTCGAAGACCACGAAGTGGCCTACGGCTGGCTCCAGGAACCCAAAATGTAGCCCGGGAGTGGAGTTCTGGAAACTCGAAGACCACGAAGTGGCTTACAGTTGGCTCCGGGCATCCAAAATGTGGCCCGGGAATGGAGTTCTGGGAACTCGAACACGAAGTGGCCTACAGTTGGCTCTGGACATCCACAATGTACGCCGGGAATGGAATTCTGGGAACTCGAAGACCACGAAGTGGCCTACAGTTGGCTCCGGGCATCCAAAATGTACGCCGGGAATAGAGTTCTAGCAGCGCCAAGAGCGATTTTGCGAGGATGTCCCATGCGATTTGGGCTTCGGCGGCAGCCGCCCCGGGTCCCGCCTTGACCCCCCTGTGGAGTCATCTGCTGCTCTCTTTTGACACCACTAGAAACCTATCAGTCTTCGCTGTTAGGTAACAATGCAAAACGCACTCTGCCTCCAAATTCGGAACATGCGCAGCCAACCCGATGCGCCCCCCCCCCCCCACCATCCCTGTCAAAAAAACAAAACAATACAGAATACACTTGGCGGCGACGGCGGCTGCGGCGGCTGCGGCGGCGGTGGCGGCGGCTGCGGCGGCTGCGGCGGCGGCGGCGGCGGCGGCGGCGGGGGCGGCGACGGCGGCGGCGGCGGCTGCGGCGGCGGCGGCGGCGGCGGTAGCGGTGGCGGCAGCGGCTGCTGCGGCGGTTCGGCAGCGGGGGGCGGCAGCGGCAGCGGCGGCGGCGGCGGCGGTTGCGGGCGGCGGCGGCGGCGGATGCGCCCCCAGTAGCTGCCCATCCAAAGACGACTGCTGAATATGCCGAGGCTCGGGCCAGACTCGGGTGCTACGTATGTGTTGGGAGGGCGGGTGGGAGTGAGCGAGACGGCTCGGCGAGGAAGCCAAACTCATTGGTTTTACTATGGTTTTTGCCACATGTTGGCCTCCTGAGGGGGGGGGCTAATTTAGGACCCCCCCCTCCTGTGATCGATCCCCCCCAAGATGCCCCCACGAGGCACCCAAGAAGCCCCAAGAGGCCCCGAGATGGCCCCAAGACGGCCCCTTGTGGCCCCAAGAAGCCCCCATGAGGCCCCCAGGATGCCCCCAAGAGGCTCCCAAGAGACACCAACGGCCACCCAGAGGCTCCCAAGACGCTCCAAGAGGCCTCGGCGACAATGCCAAAATCATTGATTTGACACATTTGGGCCTCCTGGGGGGGGCACTGCTTCAGATGACTCCAAGAGCGCCTGGGAGAGCCCAAGATGACCTCCAAGATGGCTCAAGATATCCCAAGATGTCTCAAGATGGCCCGCACCCCTTCCAAAACCGCAGGAAAATTCATATTGTAGGCATTCTCGCCTTTTCGCTTCCGATGGCCATCCGAGGCTTCAAGATGACTCCAAGATGGCCCAAGAGGCTCCAAGAGCGCTCCCAAGGCTCCCAAGAGCACTTCAAGAGGGCCCCAAGAGGCGCCCAGGAGGCCCCAGGAGGCCCAAACAGGCGCCCCAGAGGCCTCCAAGAGGCCCCCAAGAGACTCCCAAGAGGCCCCAAGAAGCTCTCCGAGGCACCCAAGACGCTCTAAGAGGCGTCCAGGACCGCCAAGAGGCCCCCAAGACGTTCCAAGAGGCCTCTCCTCTGTGTGCTGCCCACTTCCCTGATCGAGGCACTTCCTCTGGGCATCTTCTCTGGATGGGCTGGTGGGGTCACGCGAAGCGTCTACAATTGACATTTAAAAGGGGGGAAAAAGTCCCCTAGCTATTTTCTGACTCTTTTTTAATTTTCCTCCTGTAGAGGGACAGGCCCGACTTAAGGATAGCGGGGAGGGCACGGAGACTTGCGAAGGCACCCGGGGGGACGGAAGGGGCGGGGCGCCTCGCGAAGTCCTCCCACAGCTCCTCGACCACCTGCTCGCTCATGCCGACCTCCTGCGCGAGCCTCATCCTCGGGGGCGAGCCGGGCCCCGCGAGGGCCCGCGGGGCCGCCCCGCCGACGCCCTCGCCAAGAGGCCGAGCCAGACGGCATCCATCGGCAGGTCGACGCCGCGCGGCTGCAATTCGGACAGCCTGCAGCCATTGGCCAAGGTACGACCGATCGCTGGAGCGGGCGGAGGCGTGCATGCTCGGCGCGTCAGGGGTTGACTACGCCCAGCCCGGCGGCGGGAGATGATAGGCCAACTTTCCACCACCACTGCCATAGGTAGGAGGGGAAAAGAGAGGATGGCAAGGTCCTCCTCCTCCTCCTCCTTCTCCTTCTCCTATGCCTCCTCGTCATCCTCCTCCTCCTCCTCCTTCTCCTCCCCCTCCCCTCCTCCTCCTCCTCCCTCCCCTCCTCCTCCCCATCCTCCACCCCTCCTCCTCCTCCTCCTCTCCTCCTCCTCCTCCTCCTCCTCCTCCTCCTCCTCCTCGTCCTCCTCCTCCTCCTCCTCCTCAATCCCTCAGGGCCCCATCTTCGAACCACCGAGAAGACGCGGACGTGCAGCGTCTTCTATAGCGTGCGCGCTGGGGCGGACCAGAGTGTACCCGCCTGCGGGGGCCCTGGGGCAGGTCGGAGCATCCTTCTCCCAGGGGCCTCCAAGATCGGGGGCGCGCAAACATGGATGAATGATCCGTGGATTTGGCGCGCGGTCTCAAAACTTATGGATCGAGGGAGGTGCCCCCCCCCGCAGATGCGGCCGGTGCCGCCTCGCTCGGCGGCGGCAATCAGCGATTTCTCATGGAAACAGGATCCGTCGCCAATCCACGCCCCCATTGGTCCATGCTCGCGCTCGCCTGACAAGAGGAGGGCGTCCAGAAGGGGGCTCGCAAGTCGCGGCCAGAGGCACGTGCGCGGACGAGGGGGGATCCAGGAGGCGTCTTGAAGGAAGGGGAGGAGGCCATGAGATCCGGTGAGAGATCATGGCCCCCGCCGTGATAATCGGTAGGTCGGGCGGGTCCTCCTACAGGCGGATTTAGGACGAAGAATGAAAAGAAGTCGAAAATAGTCAAAAACAGTCGAAAAATCATCCCCAGGTTTTCTTCTGCCCGACTTGAGCAAAAGAGTTCCGCCCACATCACAAGCACCCCGACAAGCGAAGCCGTTTAGGAAACGAAGCCCAAGGAAGGAGTCGGACAGGGCAAGGCTGTTCATAGAGGAAAAACGGCACAGACATTAACTGCTGGCGCTCCGCGCGTATTTCGTGGATCTGTGCCGGACCCCCCTCCCTGGCGCGCGGAGCGCGCCAGGGGCGGCGCCGGCGCCGGGTGCTCCAGGCTCCGATCCAAGAACCCCGCGCGGAGCGCCAAAAGTTCATGCTTATGGCGTTGCTGCTTCTTCGAACTCAAGAAATGCCCTGGGGCGTGAAAAGAAGACGCCGATCATCGGGGTCAGGGTGGTGGTTTCCCCCTGGATCCTGGCCGCCCCCTATCCGACTGCCTCCCTCTCGGGCGGCCGGCGCTGACGAGCGGCGGGCAGCACCGAGCAAAGCCAGCGCACGGCGCCCTCCCAACGCCCCTCCCCCCCCCCGCGAGGCGCTCCTCGCCACCCGTGAGTTCTCCACGCCGTCCCCGCCCTGCTCGGGCTCGGCGTTGCTGCGGGGGGCGCCGCCGGGAGGGGGCGGCGGGGCGAGGAGCAGGAGGGGAGAAGAAGAAAAAAAAGAAGAAGGAGAAGAAGAAGAAGGAGGAGGTGGAGGAGAAGAAAAAGAAGAAGAAGAAGAAGCATAAGAAGATGAGGAAGAAGAAGACGAAGAAGAAGAAGAAGACGAAGAAGAAGAAGAAGCGCGCGGTGTCGGTCTGGAGGAGCCAGACCTGGGAAGGCGGTGCGGGGGAGCAGGAGCCGTCGGGAGTCGTCCTAGACCGATGTGGACGGCGTGGTGTTGCTGGTCGGATGCTGGAGGCTGGGTGTCGGAGTGCTGATATGGTGTAGTCTGGAGCTCTATGGGTGGAAGCAGGAGTGGAAGGTCGGATGCTGTAGGCTAGAGGTCGTTATGCTGTGTGGGTGAAGGGCGGAGGTCGAGAAGGGGAGGTGAAGTGGGACGTCAGATGCTGAAGGCTGGAGGTCGGAGTGCTCAGCTGGTGGAAGCTTGTGGTCGATGGATGGAGGAGGATATGAAACATCAGATGCTGGAGGATAGAGGGAGGGAGGGAGGGGAGGGAGGGGAGGGAGGGGAGGGAAGGACCGGCCTCGTCTCAAGCCCAGACCCCCTTCCTCACGGTTTTCCAGGCTGAGCTACGGAGGCGCTGCCACGGGACCTCGGGGAAACGCGCAACGACTTCCCAGTCGCCTCCAGCGTGAGGGTCGCCTTCTAGCAGCTGGCTTCTCCACTCCCCAAGGCGCCAACACAAGAAGGCGCTGACACTACAGACACGTTTTGAAAACCACCCGCCCTCCATCCGTGCAGCTGTTGGAAATTTCAAGCTTCGGGAACAGAACCAATGAAGAACCATCTGGCCAAACGCCTGGCCCGCCCTACCGACACGTCCGGGGGTGGGGGAAGGCGCACAACAAGCGAGGCGGAGGGCGAAACAAAAAAAAACATCCCCATAATAACCACCACAACAAGCGAGGCCGTTTCGTAAACGCACCCACAGAAAGGGTCGAACAGGGCAGGGCTGTTTCAGAGCGCCCAGGGCCGCCTTAGTAAACGCCGAGCATTGGGTCCGGGGGGTCTTCCTCCCTTGAAGCACAAGCTCTCGGGCAGCGCCTCGCGTCCGCCAGTACTGCGCTCGTGGGATGGGGAGCAGGCGGAGGGGGAGGAGGAGGAGGAGGAGGAGGAGGAGGAGGAGGAGGAGGGGGAGGAGGAGAGGAGGAGGAGGAGGAGGAGGAGGAGGAGGGGGAGGGGTGGGAGGAGGAGGAGGAGGAGGAGGAGGAGGAGGAGGAGGAGGGAAGGGGGAGGAGGAGGAGGAGGAGGAGGAGGAGGAGGAGGAGGAGGAGGAGGAGGAGGAGGAGGAGGGAGGAGGGAGGAGGAGAGAGGAGGAGGAGGGGAGGAGGAGGGGGAGGAGGAGGAGGGGGGGGGGAGGAGGAGGGGGAGGGAAGGAGGAGGAGGAGAGGAGGAGAGGAAGGAGGCGAAGGAGGAGGAGGAGGACGAGGAGGAGGAGGGAGGAGGAGGAGGAGGAGGAGGAGGGAGGAGGAGGAGGAGGAGGAGGAGGAGGAGGAGGAGGAGGCGGAGGAGGAGGAGGAGGAGGAGGACGAGGACGGAGGAGGAGGATGAGGACAGGAGGAGGAGAGGAGGAGGAGGAGGAGGAGAGGTGACGCCGCTGAGGTCTCAGCGCGCTGCGCTGGAAGCCTCGGGCGCACTGCTCCCGCTCTCCCCCTCGGAGGGAAGGGCGAGAGGGAGGAGGGAGGGCAGGCAGGAGCGCGGAGGGAGCAGGAGGAGGAGGAGGACGAGGAGGAGGACGATGAGGAGGAGGAGGCGGAGGAGGAGGAGGACGAGGAGGAGGAGGAGGAGGAGAGATGAAGGGACCCTGGGACACACAAAGAAATATTCACACCACAAAACAGGATTCCCCATATTTCCCCGTACTTTCTGGGTGTTTGGCTTCCCCCCCTTCCCATATGTTCCCATATGTCCTACCGAACCGGCGATTCATTGTCAGGAGGGGAAGCTAGAAGGTGCCGATGACGCTGCTCCTCAAGACCTCTCCCGGGGTGCGCTCCGACCAGAAGTTCGGGGCGATCCCAGGCCGTGGCGACGAGGCCCTCCCTGGAAGGATGGGGAAACCAGGGAGAAGTAGAAGTATGGGTGTCTTGTCTCGGGTGCTACCAGAAGTGCCCCGGGCCCGACGTGCCTCCAGGATTTCCCAAGAGGCCCCCACGGCCTACAGAGCACCCCCATCACAAGGCCCAGAGGGCCCCAAGGGCGCCAAGATATTGAGCGACAAGCTGGGGGCACCTTGGGCTAGGGGCACCTCTAGCAAACCCCGACTGTCCTCCCCTGAGACACAAGGGGTGGACCACATGACACCACCCCACGTACGGCCCCACAGGCCTTGGCGTATACCAGGGAACCTGGCGTGGGCTTTTGCGTGGCACACGCTTCGGCGCCCGATGTACCGTAGCGAACCCCCCCTGAACAACGCCCCTGGCCGATGCTCAGAGGGGGGGAGAGAGCAACCCCCCTGGGCGATGCTCTATCCATGGTTTCCCCTCCCCACCACACCTCGACGCCTCCGGCTTTTGCCCGAAACGCCGAGACCCCGGCCTAAGGGGTGGGGTCGTCTGCTTTTGGTCGAGGGGGGGGGCCTGCCGGCGGAGGGGCAGCAGGAGAGGCCCGGGGGCCCGAGGAGAAGGGCGGAGTAACGCGGCGGCGGCGGCGGCGGCGGCGGCGGCGGCGAGAGAAGGCCTCGACGCCATGTCTCGCGACAGCCCGAGCAGCTCCCCCAGCCCGGCGGCCACCACCTCGGGGCAGGAACAAGGAAAGGCGACACCAACACCACCAGGGCGAGGAGATGCGAGGAGGCAAGGGGGATCTCCCTGGTGGTGTGGTCCCCCCTGTTCGGTCGGGATATCCCCAGCCCCCAGCTCGGGGAGGCATCGTGGACCTCCTCGCTGGAGGTGGCCCCCTCTGGTGGTGTTGGTCTCGCTTTCCTCCCTCCGATCGGGGCGGGGCGGGGGTGGGCATCCGCGTGCCAGGCAGCGGGGCGCCCGCGGCGTCGCTTCGCATGGGGGCGCGGACGACGGAGGGGGAGAGAGAAGGGTGCCCGCCTCGGGCCCTGCGGGCCCCGCTTTGGATCCTGGGGGGCCCCTGTGTTGCAGCCCTCGCTGCCCCCCCCCCCCCACCCACCCATCGCCCCCCATTGCGCGACGCCCAGGGCGCCTGGGGCAGCCGCCCTCTCGGGAGGAGGAGGAGTGTGGGGAGAGGAGAAGCAGATCGGCGGCGAGCTGGGAGGGGGTAGCGAGAAGGAGAAGGCCCTCTCGGAAAGCGGCGGGGCTTCTCAGAAGCCCTGCGGCCGTTTTGTCTCTGCCTCTGGCGAAGGCTTGGGAAACTTCTCAGAAGGCTGGGGACATCCGAGCCTTCTCTCACATCCTCCCCCCCAGCGCGCCGCCGAGAAGATGAAAGAATGAAGGAGGGGAGGAGGAGAGGGGAGGAGGAGGAGGAGGAGGAGGAGGAGGAGGAGGAGGAGAAGGAAGAGGAGTAGGAGAAGGAGAAGGAGGAGGACGAGGAGGAGAAGGAGGAGGAGGAGGAGGACGAGGACGAGGAGGGACCGTTCCCGAGGAGGAGGAGGAGGAGGAGGAGGAGGAGGAGGAGGTTGTTTTGCTGCCAAAACTAACCTGGCACGCATTGCCTCAGCTAGCCGTCAGAAAGGAAAAGGGGTCAGCGGGCACACTAACAGGTGCAGCTCTTGCCGCCCACTTCTGCTCCGAGCCCTCTCCATGTGAGCCGCACAACATGAAGGGCAGCCCCGTCTTCCAGAGAGGCCCGCATTCGCCAGTGCCGAGCCCTGCCATGTAAGTCGCTCCACGGTGGGGGCGACCCCGTTTTTCTGCAGTCCCGCGAAGAGAAAAATGCAGTGCTCTTTCCATGTAAGCCGCCCCACTTAGTGAGCGTCCCCGTCTTTCAGAAAGGCCCGCCTCGCCCCAGCTCCCGCCTCAGCCTCGCTTCCGCCGCCAGCAGAGAGCTCAAGCGAACGGCGGCAGCAGGCTGCTGCGCGCGGCTCCGCGCCACGAGCTCGTCCCACGTCTCAGAGCGCTCGCAGACTGTGGGCATGCGGGGCATCGACCACCCGCCCGTCGGCGGCCCGAGGGGCGTGCGCGGGGAGAGACGAGGCATCGGCCACCCGCCCGTCGGCGGCTGGTCTCAGCATCCCGCCGCCGCGGCCCTCGGACTTGCCCTTGCCCTTCCGTCCGTCCACCGCCGTGACGGCGTCGAGGAGGCGGCGTCGGCGGACGCGCGAGCGATGGGATGCCGCGCCCCGCAGCTGGGCCCGAGCCACGATCATCCGCGCCAAAGCAACACCCTGGTCCAGCACGGCCTTGATGCGTGCCGCGCAGCGGGCCGCCGCAGAGCCTCTGCGGGCGACGCGCGCCTCGACCCTGGCTCGGAGTCCGCGAAGCCGCAGACGGCAGGAGCCGAGCTGCTTGTCCTTGCGGCCCTTGCGGGCCAGCGCCAGCCAAGCGTCGCCGAAGGCGCCGCGGGCCCTCACCGCCTCAGGTAGTACACGACCCTCTGCAGGCAGAGCACGATCGCAGCTGAAGGGGTTCTGCCTCTCGTCGCCGATGGTCTGCGCCGCCTCCAGCTCCACCTGCGCTCCGATGACGCTCACCTTCGCCACGGGCATCGAAAGCGGCATGCCCTGGTGCCCCACGGTGCTCACCTCCTCGTAGGGGTCCTTCTGCTCGTCGCCGATGGTCTGCGCCGTCTTCAGCTCCACCTGCGCTCCGATGGTGCTCACCTCCGCCCACGGGCATCGAAAGCGGCATGCCCTGGTGCCCCACGGTGCCCACCTCCTCGTAAAGGTCCTTCTGCTCGTCGCCGATGGTCTGCACCGTCTTCAGCTCCACCTGCGCTCCGTGGGTGCTCACCTCCGCCAACGGCATCGAGAGCGTCCTGCCCTGGTGCCCCACGGTGCCCACCTCCTCGTAAGGGTCCTTCTGCTCGTCGCCGATGGTCTGCACCGTCTTCAGCTCCACCTGCGCTCCGTGGGTGCTCACCTCCGCCACGGGCATCGTGAGCGTCCTGCCCTGGTGTCCCACGGCTCTGACCTCCTCGTAGGGGTCCTGCTGCATGTCGCCGAAGGTCTGCGCCGTCGCCGCGAAGAAGCCGTTGAGGTCCTTCGCCGAGCCGCTCTTCTCGCCGCCCTCGGCGGCGCCGACCGCGCCCTGCAGCTCCGCGGAGAGCGCGGGGAAGGCGGGGATCTCGGGCAAGTACCCCAGCCCGATCGCCTGCTCCCCCACGGCTCCTGCCCTCGCCGCGGCGTCCAGGGGCGCCGTCTCCACCTCCGCGATGTGGTGCACGACGCCGTCCACGCCCGCCACGCCCCAGGCCAGCCTGGGGCCTGCCGCCGCCTGGGCCAGGGCCGCGCTGGTGGCCCCCGCGAAGCCGCCTGGGGGCGCTCGCGCCGCATGCCACGCGGCGTTGCGCCTGCAGCGTGCGCCCCCTGGGACCCGCAGCCCCAAGGCCGCCAGCCGAAGCGCGGGGCGCGCCGCCGCCTCGCGGTCCCGCCATGAGCCTGGAGCGCACCGCGGCGGCACGTGCGCGCGTGCCGCGGCCTCACATGCCGCCCGCCGCCGGGCCCTGGCCGCGCGCCGTGCGCCGGAAACCCCCAGCGCCAGGATGTCGTTCGCCCGCTGCTCCGAGGGCCGCCACGCATTCGGGCCGCACCCCGCAGCCATGCCCGCGCAGCCGCGGACAGGCGCCCGGCGCGCCCGCCCCCCTGGCGCAGAACCGCTTGAGCCAAAATGGCTACGGGGGGAGGAGGAGGAGGAGGAGGAGGAGGAGGAGGAGGAGGAGGAGGAGGAGGAGTAGGAGAGGAGGAGGAGGAGGAGGAGGGGGAGGAGGAAGAAGAGGAGGAGAAGAAGGAGGAGGAGAACCTCCTGTCGCCCGCCGCTGTCAAGAATTCGATCACGCGTCGGCGCGCGGACGGACGCGGTCGCCGCTCGGAGGAGGAGGAAGGGCAGGATCAGGAGGAGGAGGAGGAGGAGGAGGAGGAGGAGGAGAACCTTCTGTCCTCCCCAAGCTGCCACGAATTCGATCACCCGTCGGCATCTCCCCTGCCCGTCCGTCTACCCGTCCACTTCCCCGAGCCTATCGCCTACCCGTCTCCCCTCCAACCATCCTGGTATTCCCCCTCCCTGCCTCCGCCACTCGTCCTACTCTTCCTCCTCCTCCTCCTCCTCCACCTCCTCCTCCTCCTCCTCCTCCTCGTCCTCCTCCTCCACCTCCTCCTCATCCTCATCGTCATATCCTTCCTCACATTCCTCCTCATCATCATCCTCGCTCTACTCCCCAAAACCTTCCACATCGTCATCGTCGTCGTCGTCGTCGCGGCCGTCATCATCATCATCATCATCATCATCATCATCATCATCATCATCATGATCATCATCATCATCATCATCATCAACATCATTATTATCATCATCACTATCATCATAATCATCATCCTCCTCATCATCACCATCAGCAGCACCGGCATCGGCATAATCATCAGCGGCAGCATCATCGCCATCATCAGCATCATCATCAGCAGCAGCATCATCACAACCGTAAGCATCACCAGCATCATCAGAATCGTCATCATCGTCATCAGCCGCATCATAATCAACATCAGCATCATTATCGCCATCGTCATCGTCATCATCGTCAGCATTATCATCAACAGTAACATCATCATCGCCATCATCAGCATCACCATTGTCATCATCATCACCAAGAGAATCACTAATATCATCATGATCAGCATCATAATCATCATAATCATCATAATCATCAGAATCACCATCGTCATCAGCATCAGCATATCCATCCTCATCATCGTCATCGCCATCATATCAGAATCATCATCAGCATCGTCATCGTTAGCAGCACCATCATCATCAGCAGCAGCAACATCCTGATCACCAGTATCATTATCAGCAGCTTAGCATCATCAGCATCATCATCATCATCATCATCATTATCAGCATCATCAGCATCAGCATCATCATCAACAGCAGCTGCATCATCATCATCATCAGCATCATCATCAGCATCACCATCACCATCAGCATCATCAGCATCACCATCATCAGATGCATCACCGTCGTCATCATCATCAGCAGCATCATCATCGTCATCATCATCGTCGTCAGCATCATCATCATCCTCGCCGTCGCCATCAATACCATCATCAGTGTCACAATCACCATCATCATCATATGATCAGTATCCGTATCATCATCAACAGTGCCAGCATCAGCATCAGCATTATCGTCGTCGTCGCAGTGGTCGTCGTAAGCAGCAGCATCATCAGCATCATCAGCATCATAAGCATCATCATCAGCGTCAGCATCATTATCATCATTATCAGCATCAGCATCATCACCATCATCATCAACATCAGCAGCATCACAATCATCAGCATCATCGTGGGATCACAACCATCGCCATCGCCATCAACACTACTACCATCATAATATCCATCAACATCATCGTCGAACTCTCATCGTGAAGACAATCACCATTATCCGTCATCATCGTTGTCGTCCCATCATCGTCATCATCATCAGCATCATCCGTCAGCATCCCCATCAGCGTCATCATCATCATCATCATCATCATCATCATCAGCAACATCATCAGCACCATCAACATCATCATCATCATCATCATCATCATCATCATCACTACCGTCATCATATTCACCATCGCCATCACCATCATCATCATCATCTTCATCATCGTCATCATCATCCTTATCATCATCATCATCATTATCATCATCGTCGTCATCGTCGTCGCCATCGCTCATCGTCCTCATCATCACCCTCATCATCATCACAACTGTCGTCGCAACCATCGGCAGAATCATATTCGTCATCTGCGCCATCACCATGATCAATCATCGTGGTCATTGCGATCGTCTTCACCATCATCATGATCGCCATCACCACCACAAATCATCTGAATTACCGCCATCATCATCATCAGCATCATCAACATCATCAGCATCAACATCATCATCACCACCACAAACGTCATCCTCGCCGTTCGCTTGCGCCCTTGGAGCAACCCCAACACCCATTGCCGCGTCCCCCACCCACCTCTGGGGCACTCCGGCAGGGATCCTACGGATCGCTGGAGGTTCATTGCACTGCCACGTGCGCGTCTGCCCTCGCCGCCATGGCCGAGAGCTCGTTTTCCTTCCGCCGCCTTCCGCCACCCGTCCATCGCCTTCCGCCGAGGACGAGATGGCCACTCGATCGATCTGCGAAAGCATGACACATTTTGGAGCGTTTCATCTGTACCTTCATGCATACAGACATACTAACATACATACATGCATGCATGCATGCATGCATGCATGCATGCATGCATCCAGATCTACCTACCGACCTACCTACCTACAGACATACATGCACACGTACATACACACATACATCCACACATACACGTAATATACAAACAAATGACTTGTATGCATGTGCATGTAGATGTACACGAGTGATACATGCATTCGATTCTCGACGTCGGAGCTGTTCGTGAGGGTAAAGGCGGGGAACGCGAAAGCCTCGGGCCCCCACCAGGGCCCCCCATCGGGCCACGGCCTCTCCACCGGCCTCCTGCATCGGCCGAACTCCTGGCCAACGCCCACGTACATGGCGAGTTTCGGAAACCCTGAGCCCGAACACGTGTTCGTCTCCTGGGGGCGCATCCTTCACTTCCGCCGCCTTCCGCCATCCGCCGGCCTTCCGCCGCCTTCCGCCGCCTTCCGCCGGCGGAAGGCGGCCTCGTTCTGGTTCCCCCGACCTTCCACAGCCTTACGCCGAGGAAGAGATGACAACTCACTCGACCCTCGAGAGCAAGGCCCTTTCTGGAACGCATCATAGGTGTACGGTGGAGGTTGCAGATAAGGGTGCCATTGTTCGGGAACGCGCTCGAAGCGGCGAGGTTCCTGAATGTTGCAAGGAATGGTCGAGACCCAGGACAGCCAGGCTTGCGCCCATCACGACTTAAAAAAATCCCCAGACTCTAGACCCTGAGCTGCGCCCGCCAACCCTTACCACATAAGGAATGCCCGAAGGTCCCGCCTGGAAGTAAAGCTTCCTTTTAAAATGCCTCCCTCCGACGTGTGTGACCGACTCCGGAAACCATGAACCCAAAGACGTTTCCATCTCTGGGGGGGCGCATCTTGTACATCCGCCGCCTTTCGCCGCCCCTGCACGGGCTTCCACCAGCCGGGCCACCGCCGTTTCACTTCCGCCGTATTCCGCTGGCCCTCCGCCGAGGAAGACATGGCAACTCCTTCAATCCTCGAAGGCAAGGCCCTTTTTGGAACGCCTCAAAGTGGAGGGGCCGAACGGTCATTCATTGCCCTTCGGCGCGTACGGGGAGGTTCCGTGGTGCGGATTGTTTTTGCAATGTTGATGCGCTGTTGCTGTTGTTGATGAACCCTCACTCTTGAGAAACAACCATTGTTTTGTTGATCCCCTCTCACCGGTGCACATTCTGTTTGTGAACTGAAGTGCCCCCCTCGGAGCTCGCACCCGGCTTTCCATCAGAGAAAATGTTCCAGCTCAAACTGTGTCTGTTGCCCCATGGCTACAACAACATCAACTTCCGGGGGATCACCCTATCGCTCGAGTCTTCCTCGCCATCCATACAGGAGTCACAGATGGAAGGCGGGGGAGAAGGATGGAGGACAACAGGGATTAGCAAAAGGGGGGCTAGAAGCAGAAAGCGCGTGGCAGAACCAGACGGGCAAATCGGGCGGGTAGACCCGAACGGGCGGGTCGGGTCGGGGAGGCGGGCCAGGCGGCCAGGTCGAGCAGGCGGATTGCTGAAGAGTGAGCCCTGCATGAATCGCGAGGTCTTGGGCGATAGCGCGATTTTGAAATAAACCGCGGAAAAAAAGAGAGCGCGACTCCTGAGCGTCCACGGCGCAACGTTTGCACAATGTGCGAAGAAGTCCCACCGCAGAGCCCGATTCCTGCATTAGATTATGAGGAACTCCCGCGCGAAAACGCGATTTGGGAATACATTGTGAGGAAATATCAAGCGGGAACCACTGTTGTTGTAACCCGTGGATCAGCAGCCTAGTTCCGTGACACCAGACTTTCCCTGATAATAGCAAGGGTGAAAGTCCCAGGAGGAGCACTATAATTGTAAAAGACAGTGGTCACCGAGGAAGGATTAACAATCATGGGTAATTCTCAATGCAAATTCAGCGGTTCCCGCCTGATACTTCCCTACCGCGTATTCCACAGTTGTGCTCTCGCATGGGACGTCCTCCGAATGTATATAGGAATTGCACCCTCGCGTGGGACATCCTCGCAATGTACTCGGACGCCGCGCCCTCGAAGCTCAGGAATCGCGCTCTCGCTCTGGCTTTCGAACGCTTTACCTTGGAATCGCGTTATCGCTCGAGATCCCATTGCGATTCACGCAAGGCTCACGCTTCAGCAACCCGCCTGCTCGGCATGGCCGCCAGGGCCCGCCTGCCCGACCCGCCCGTTCGGGTCAACCCACCCGATCTGCCCGTCTGGTTATGTCACGTGTTTTTCGTGCTCCGTCCTTCTCCCTCCCCCTGCCATCTGTCCTCCCTTCAATTGCTTTGGGGGCTGCACCATCTTCACGTGACAGGTAACGAAGATATATCCCAAAGGGAACAGATCGAAGACGAAGAGAGCGGGGA